GGGGAAGTAGACGGCGGGGGTGACGAAGGTGAAGGTGCCGGCAACCATAGCCGAGGTGAAGGGTTGACCGGGCGTTGACTAGAGCGTTGACCAGAGGGTTGACCAGGCGTTGACCGAGGGCGTTGACCACGCGTTGACTGGAGGGTTGGCCGCGCTGACTCGGCGTTGACCAAGACGTTGACCGGAGCTGCTGACCGAGATTTTGACCAAGCTGGAGCTGGTGATATCTCGCTGAGCCCTTAGCCTATCCCCTTACCCTGTGGATGTGCACTCACCCTACGGTACTTGCTGAGTTTGAGTCTGTCTGTCTTTCCTTTCTGCATTGAGTCTCTTTTGTCCTAGGTGTTAGGACTCTGTGGATGAAGGATAGGGCCTTGCTGCCAAACCTGCACGGGACTTAGTAGGACTAAGCTCTACTCTGGCATCTGGAGACCTGGGCATGAGCGGCGAGCGCTCGTTAAACAACTCGTCTAGCCCAATGACCGATATTGTCCGACAGGTGTACTGAGTTCAGTGTAGAGGGTCTGAACTCCGAGCTGCAGGCTGAAACGAAGGCCGTCTTTAAGTGTTGAGGCCTGATGATCTGTGTCTGACGACTCGACTGTCCCGAGGGATACGAACCCCTCCAAGGACCGGTACAGACCGGCGGGCTGCTCGGTGTGGCACAGTAGGCTGGAACGACTGAGTTGTGGGCTGAAATCGCCAGGAAGAACTACGCTGATCACATCGTCCTGACTGCGACGTTAAAGAATTCTTGCGGAGTTTGGGGGATCTCCTTAAATGCCTCCTGATCAGCTGTTAGTTCAGTAGTGACACCCTTAGAGTAGTTGTGAGTAGTGGATCTTAGAGAGTCAGTCAGTAGGTCATTGTGTTCGGGTAGGTCTAAGTGGTGAGGAGTGGGACTCTTGTCGTGCACCTGACATCACGATGGACGACTATCCGATGTATGGGTTGCTTGTGGGGTTCTCCCTCTGGGGGACCCTTTGGCGTCTCCTCTTTCCTCTGGGGTTCTGGCACCTTCACGTGTAGAGTCGATACCCGGGGTGGTGCCTCCACCAAGCCATACACGAAGGAGGAGGAGGCGAAGATGGCCGCCATTCTGCAGGAGAGGCAGGCGAAGGAGGAGGCCAAGAAGAAGGTCGTGAAGGAGGAGCAGGCGGCCAAATTGAAGAAGATAGAAGAAGAGATGGCCAAAGAGAGGGAGAGAATACAGAAAGAAGAAGAAGAGAAGTTGAAAGAGGTGGAAGAGGAGGAAGAAGATGAAATGCCACTGCAGAGGAAGAGGGGGCAGTACAGTGGTAGTAGGGATGAGGAGATGGAAAAGCGGATCTCAGAGTGGGTCGCCAACTTATCCCTGGGCGAAGAAGAAGAGGTGGCGATGTATATCTCTAAAGATGATCAGGAAGCCGCTATGAGAGCTTGGGAAGCAGAAAAAGATGTTGTAAAGCGGCAGGCAATGGAAGATGAAAAGAGGATGGAATGGAAGTTGGCCGTGATGAGGGAGAAGAAGAGGAGAGTGGACGCGGCAGCGGAGGCGGCAGAAGAAGAAGAGGAGAGTGGACGCGGCAGTGGAGGCGGCAGAAGAATTAGAGGAGGTAAAAAATATAGAAGAGCAACTAGCCGCCCAGACCGAACTCCCAGCTCAAATGCGAGTCATAGCCCGCAATGTTGCACGTCTGGCACGAATTCAGGCAGAGCAATATGACTTTAGTACGAGTCAGCATATAGCTGTGCGTTCCATAAAGTTGGGGTTCCGGGACTTTGCTTGAGAGTTGGTAGGCGCTATAGGCACGGAGGTGGGCCACCGCCTCGACAAGACTGAGCGGTTCTGTGCCGGCGCCATTGTAGGCGTCAAAGCGGCAATTCCCAAGGAGGAGGAAGCACGTCCTCTTCGCCGGGAACCGGTCAAAGTCAAATCCCCTGATTCCTATAGTGGAAAACGGGAAGAAAACTTTGACAACTGGGAGGCCAATGTCAAGACCTATGTGCATCTGCAACAGGTCTCCCCGGATCAGCAGGTTTTAATCGCGATCCACGCGCTTAGGGATGAGGCCGCCAGCTTTGCAAGGTCCCTAGTTCGCGCTGCCAATTGTAGTGACGATCCAGTTGCGTACTCCTCGTTCACTTCCCTCACTGAGTTCTTGAAATTGCTGCGCGAGAGGTTCGCTGATGTCGCCCGTAGCGTTAAAGCCTCAGATAGGCTGCAGACGATCCACGCTCGCAAGTGGAAGAGCGCCAGGGCACTTAAGAGTACAATGGACGAACTGATAGCTGTCCCTGACCACGGGGTTACAGACACCTAGTTGGTTGGCCTCTTTTATCGGGCTATACCCGAAGCCCTCCGAGGGCATTTCTTCGCAAAGAGCGAAGACCCTGCCACTACTTACGATTCTCTTAGTCGTGAGGTGGTGGCCTTTGAGGCCAAGTCTATGTCAGTTTCCATCTTCTGGCACAAGGACTTGGATAAGGGTAAGCAATGGAAGGGTTGCACTATCTCAGGGCAAGTGAAGACTAAGGATAGTCTTGTCCTGACCTTAGATGAGGGTAGTGTGGACGAGATCCCCTACGACCAGATTGAATGGGGGTTAGAGGAGGAGGACAGTGGTGTGAGCCAGGGGAGGACCTACGCTGCTGTCGCGGCCGAAGGGAGGCCGCAAGGAGGACGAGGCCAGGGCCAAGGGGGCCGGGCCTCAGGGAGCCGGTTTCAGGGCGATCAGGGGGTTGGCGGCAGAGGAGGAAAYCGCCAAGCGGGAGGYAGGGGTCAAGGTCCCCCRCAAAACCGTCCTAGGAACAGGTCTCCCTACAGGGTAGGAGGATGGCACCCGGGGCTACCGCAGGGTAGGCCTTGGGAAACTTTGGGTCTGGACCAGACTTTATGGCTACAACGATTGGATCGGGGCCAGTGCATTTTCTGCGGTGACCCGGGCCACATCATCAAATATTGTCCTAAGTATCGAGAGACCCGAACGGCTGCCCAAGGGCCAAAAGGCAGCCGCCGGTAGGGGTAGCAACTGCCCCTACCATTAGGTCATGTGGGGAACATAGCACTAGCCGACAGGAGACTCCCACACCGCATGTGCCTATGGCAGAGGTTGCAGGCCGGTGTCTAGATGGCTGTCCAGGGACTGCTTGTATCAGAGTCTCTCTAGACACCTCCCTCACAGGTGTGGCCGAAGAGTTGAAGGAGAGGATGCCCGCCTGGGCCAAGATGAAAAAGGAAAATAAAGGGCAGCTTATATTAGTAGATACAGAAATTTTTAGAAGTAGAGTAGGGGCCCTAGTAGAYTCAGGGGCCACCCGCAGCTACATTAGTACGAAAGCGCTGCAGAAGTTGAAGCTGGGACTTAAAGTCCAAAAGCTAGCAGACCCTATAGTTAGTATCCTCGCAGACAATCGTACTATGGTTGTAGAGGAGTATGTAGAGGGAGTCCAGGCGTATTTCCGCCTAGAGAAGGATGGGAAAGTGGAAAAGGTTCTCCACTCCCCGACTCTCCTCGTAGAGGATAGCCTCCCATTTGATATTGTCCTGGGAATGGATTGGGGAGAGGCAGCCGGGGCCACACTCCATCTGAAGGAGCACGAGTGTAGGCTCCCTAACTCTTCAGGCGAGGCTAAGATTGCCTGCCTGTTCCATGTGTCCGAAGTAGAGAATTCCTTGGCACATTGCTGTCTTAGTGCTCATGCGTTCGCCAGGTTGGTGAAGAAGGAGAAATTGGAGGAACAGGTTTTTGTTGCCTATGTTAGGTCAGTGACTGAGCCTACGGAAGAAAGGCCGATGGACCCTGCGATTGCCAAGCTGCTGGAAGAGTTTAGAGATTTGACTGAGCCGCCGAAAAGCACGGTGTCGCGGCCCATCCAGCACCGTATTGAGATAGAGCCTGGCAGTAGAACTCCTAAGGGTGCGGTGTACAAGATGTCCCCGCGGGAGTTAGAGAAGCTTCGCAAGCAGTTAGACGAGCTCCTCGAGAAGGGTTGGATTAGGCCCAGTTCGTCTCCTTTCGGAGCGCCCATCCTCTTTGTTCCTAAGAAAGAGGGAGAGCTGAGAATGTGCATAGACTATAGGGGTCTGAATGCTATTACGGTAAAGAATGTTGAGCCACTGCCTAGGATAGACGATCTCTTAGATCGAGTGCAGGGGGCGAAGTATTTTTCCAAGATAGATTTGAAGTCCGGGTATCATCAAATAGAGGTGCATCGTGATGATCAGTATAAGACAGCCTTCCGGACTAGATATGGACACTACGAGTTCATAGTGATGCCCTTTGGACTAAGCAATGCGCCAGCTACGTTCCAGTGCTGCATGAACTATTTGTTTAGGTCGTGGTTAGACAAGTTTGTCGTAGTTTACCTAGACGACATCCTAGTGTTTGGCCGGACCCTTGAAAAGCATCAGGGTCATCTCAGGCAGGTCTTGGAGAAGCTGAGGAAAGCTAACTTCAAGATCAATGCAAAGAAGTGCGATTGGGCGAAGACCCAAGTTTTGTACCTAGGCCACGTCTTAGACGGAGACGGCGTTAAGCCAGAGGATAGCAAGATCGCAACGATTAGAGATTGGCCCACGCCACGTACGCTGACAGAGTTGCGCTCGTTCCTGGGCTTAGCGAATTACTACAGGAAGTTCGTGAGGAACTTCTCCACCATCGCTGCGCCCCTTCACAGATTGCTGAGAAAGGAGACAATCTGGAAGTGGGACAAGGACTGCATGTCTGCCATGAAGAAGCTAAAGCAGGCATTGATAGAGTATCCAATCCTTAAAGTCGCCGATCCATCCTTGCCTTTTGTTGTCACGACCGATGCGAGTCAATACGGCATAGGCGCGGTGTTACAGCGAGACAATGGCAATGGGTATAGACTCGTAGAGTTCATGTCCGCCAGGATGCCTTCAGAGAAGGTCGCGATATCTACTTATGAGAGGGAACTCTACGCTCTCAGGCAAGCATTAGACCACTGGAAGCATTACTTGCTTGGGAGACACTTCAAAGTCTATTCTGACCATGAAACGTTACGATGGTTAAAGACGCAGGCCAAGATGACACCTAAACTTACTAGGTGGGCCGCAGAGATAGATCAGTACGACTTTGAGCTCAAGCCTGTCAAAGGGAAGTATAATGTAGTTGCGGACACTCTGAGTAGAAGAGCTGATTACTTCGGGGCAATAGTGCGCTACCTCGATATAGGGAAGGATCTGCAACAGAAGGTTAGAGAAGCCTACGCGCAAGACCCTATTTATAGTGAGCTCCTTAAGAAAGTCAAGGAGCCCCCGGAGACTGAGCCGAATTACCGCACTACTGAAGGGTTGCTTTTTGAGAAGACTAATGTGTTTAACCGCCTATGCATCCCCAATAGCGAAGAGATTCGTAGTCTGATTTTGGGCGAATGCCACGACATAGAGGGTCATTTTGGTTGGCCCAAACTCCGAGGATCTAGCCAGTCTGACGCGCGCGTATACCTGGCCAGGGATGAAGAATGACTGCGTAGAGTATGTTCGCAGTTGTAAGGTCTGCCAGCGTAACAAGAGTTCTACGCGCGCCCCGTTAGGTCTTCTAAGGCCCTTACCGATTCCAGACCAGCCAGGAGACTCAGTGTCCATAGACTTCATGGACACTCAAGTCAAGAGCAGGCATGGCAAGAGCTAAGTCATGGTCATAGTTGACCGATTTAGTAAATACGCAGTTTTTGTTCCTTTGCCTTCAGAGGCACGCACTGATTTAGTCATACATAGATTCTTTGACTGTTGGGTTAGTGAGAATGGAATCCCGCTGTCAATAGTTAGCGATGGAGATAGTCGCTCCACCAGCCAGAACTGGCATGAACTCATGGGAGTATATGGACCTAAGTTGTTGATGTCGTCCGACCGTCATCCAGAGACTAACGGTCAGACAGAGCAAATGAACAAGATCCTACAGCAAGTTTTGCGCATGTATATTAGGCCGGATCAGATTAACTGGGATGAGATGTTGCCCAAAGTAGCTAGTGCGTACAATAACAACGGGCATTTGTCTACATGCCACACTCCCAACGAACTACACAAGTCCTTTCGACCGCATAGACCGTTTGAGGGACTCAACCGGGATCAGATTCACAGATTGCCGCCCGGGACCAGGGAGTTCGCTGTACAGCACGAGAAAGAACTAGCTACTGTCGTAGAAAACCTCAGGAAGGCCCAGCATAGGATGATAGAGCAAGCAAGCAAACATCGTTGCCTTTCAGAGTTTCAAGTAGGCGACTTAGTCTGGGTTAGTTCTAAAGAGTTTGCACCTGAGGAGAACATCTCGCAGAAGTTACTGCCCACCTCTACCTCTGAGCCTCTTTTGTCGAGGTGGAGCAGAACTGCGTGCGAAGCTTTGCTAGCGCAGCCTTTTTCGTTTTGTCTTGGCTGGCGCCCCCAGCTTTTTTGGTCGGGTGGTGCCTGGCCTCTGCTGGCCCCTGAAGAATGCGGTATAGGTGTGACGAGGCAGAGGAAGAGCAGCGAGGCTGGGAGGGAGAGGGAGAGTGCGAACACACACACACGCTCCCTCAACTAGACGCAGACTCAACACGACTCGACGGACGCATACACGAAGTGGCAAAGTTGCAAAGTCGCAGTCTTGAATTCCCGAACGCAATSTCACAACAAAGTCACACTGAACACAAGCACTGAGGCTGAAAACTGGTTGCCCGTACTGGGCTTGAGTCCATACATAAGTACCAGACTCAAGTATGGTCCTGAGGGCACAAGTAAAAATCCCTCAGGGCCAGAACTGAAAATCGAAAGTCTGAGAGTGGGCGCCAGAATGCCGGATGCCGCCAAGTGTCCGAAATCTGAAAGTCCAAAAAGGAGGAGTTTTGTAAGTGGGCGCCAGAATGCAGATGTCGCCAACTGTTCGAAATCGGAAAAGCAAAACCAAGGTAAAATAAAACAAAAGAATTGGAAAAACAAAAAAAGAGAATAAATGCAGCAAGCTGGTGGGTGGTAACCCGCAGACCGGGGATAGAGCCCTGGGGGAGTCCGTCACACTATCCCCTCCCTCTAGAAGGCAACGTCCCGGCTGCCAAAAGTCGTGAAAATAATGCTGAATCCTGTGAAGGACGGGACGGGGCCGATCGCTGGGAAGCAGGAGGAAAAAGGGAGAGGGGTATGATGTGGGTAGCAAGGGCTGAGGGAAACAGGGTTTTCCCACTGATGAACTACGGGGTATGTGTATTGAAGGGCTACGGAGCTGTGAACCGAGAGGGAACAGAGTTTGCCTACTAATGAACTACAGGGTTAGGGACTGCAGGGGAACAGGGTTGTCCTACTGATAGACTACAGGGTTCCATTGGGCGAAAGGGTTCTGTGAGMAAAAATACAGGAAGGAAAATTAATTTGCAGTGTTCAGGAGGTTTCTGGGGATCTCGAAGTGAATGGGGTTGGGGGGGAAACCGCAGGTTCTGGGAAATGATCTGGATGAGAGTCTTGAAGCAGGTCTTGAAGTCACAATAAACCAGTCTTCAGCAGGCTTGCGATGTGTGGTAGCAAGGGTTCCAGCCTGAAAGAAGTAGTGTAGCAGTCCWATAGATGAAGTTCCAAGTGCCAGGGTGCGTCCCGTACACGATCCTGATGATTAAGTCTGATCTGGATAGCAGGTCACAGACTGGGCCTGGTGTCCACATCAAGAGTGCTGCTCCAGAAGTCTGCAAATCCAGRTGCCGGCCACTGGGACAGCRTGGTGGCCAACCAGCTGCTTAATCTCCTCAAACTGTGCTGCAGCAGGCCATCGTCCTCGTGTGCTTGCCATTAGATCCTTTATCGCCGGCGATGCGCAGGAGCCACAGGTAAGGCTTGGACAAGAGAGACAGAGGATGTGGCAGAGGACAGATTGGGGGATGAGATGAAGGCAAGAGCGGATTAGACAGAGAGAGGTCGAGGGGCAGGGATTTTGCTGGGTGCAGGGGGTGTGTGTAAGGCAACGAGGCACGGTTTATGCAGGGTATATGGGTGTTATACGTAGTATATAGCTAGGATATATGGTGAGCACGATCATAGGCACAAACAAGTTTCATGCCATTCTTGAGATTATCGAGGGGTTCCCATTTGACTTTGTATTCAGTAATTCTTCATCTGGGTATCCAGTCCATTTGACTTTGTATTTAGTGATTGGTTCTGGGTGATCGGATACTTGAGTTGTTCTTCGTCCTATGATAGATTCTACCACAAATTCAGGCCTGTTAGGTAGCGTGATTGGTGGAGGTCTAGGATATGGGTGGTCAGCGAATTGTGGAGGTGATTCATGGTATTCTTTTGAGTACTCGGCATGGAAGATGTAGCGGACCTCTGGGTGGCCTGTGAGACCAGCCCCTTGGCCTGTTCTCACAGGCCTGTGTTGTATTCGGGCTAGTCCAGTCCAGGCCGGTACCTCTGTCGGTACCAGCCAGTCCAGTCGAGTCCAGTCAGTCCACTAGGGTATACCCCAGCCAGAGTCTGTATTTCGGATCATTCTGCATTCGCAGAAGCTTGGAGTACGTGCGTTGGAGTCTCGCATGGAAGCTGCGCTGTGCCATCTTGCTCCTCTCATCCTTCATCTCCATTTGTATCCCAGGCGGAGCACCACACGTGCTGGGTCCGCTACACTGGTATCAGAGCGGGAACGTTCCCTGCTCCCACCCACCACACCGCACAGCAGGAAATCTTGCAAAACCTAACAGTGTTTTTTTTTGGCACCAAGGCCAAGGCCGCCGCACACGCACGCGCCACGTGGCCACGCTGGCGCGCTGCCCCGCCCTGCCCGCTCCCGGATTAGTTATATCAAGATCCGGGATGCATGCTGCTGCCAGGGTTTGAATCTGGGCAGCTGCTGGCTATGCGCAGCTGCTGCCATAACACACTGGCCATAGTGTGTGTATGGTTCAGTAGTGCGGCATGCTTGTGTTGAAGAGGACGTTCGGGGAGAGAGGGGGAAGGCGCGCAGTGGGAGGAACGAGGTTCTGGGAGATAGGGGGGGTGGGTGGGAGGCTCGGGGAAATAGGGGGGAAGAGGGAAAGATGGGGGATAGGATGTTCGTGGAGATTGATTGATTGATCGTTGATGTTCGGGAAATAGGGGGCACGAAGTGCGAACCAGGTGAGCTCCCTCCCCGCCTTTTTTTCTTTTTTTTTCTGGACATCTTGTCCCTGCCAACACAGTCCGGACAATTCGGTGTCCGATGATGTCCGAAACTCCGGACAGTCCGGACTGGTCCAGACACAGGTCCGGGAAACAGTCCGGAAGTGTCCGGTGTCCGGGTCCGCGGTTACCATGCTTATTTTTTTAATTATTTTGATTATTTATTTATTTATTTATTTATTTTCTCGAAATTTCACTGTTTATTTATTTTTCCTTCCGCCTCCCTCCCATGCTTGCTATTTTATTTTCTTGATTAGGTCACCGGTACCCTACCTCAACCACTCAAACTCAGGTTAGGGTTTTCTTAGGGTTTTTCTAGGGTTTAGGGTTCTCCTAACCCCCCTACTTCCCCTTTCCATTCGGGCACCCTGGACCCGAGCCACCCTTCCCCTTTTGCGGGCGCCCGCGCTCGACTCATTAGCACCACCCGTCGCTTTCTACCGCGGCTTACGTGGACCTCCTTTGGCCCCCTCCAGTCCAGCCCGTCACCTCCCCATGGCCGATGGCGTGTCACAAGCCGCCGACGCGGCGACGACCTCGGCACCGGGCTCCATACCCGTGCCGGCGGACCAGGGCCATCAGCCCCAGGGAGATCTGCACACCCTCCTCACCTCCCTCCTTGCGCCCTTACAGGCGCAGGTGGCGGCCTGCAGCAACTCCAGGACTCTGCCCATCCTTCCTCTTCCCACTCTCTCTTCCCCTGGCTCCCAGTCCGGGTCCCCCGTCCTCCGACATGGTGGCCACGACGGAGCTTCCTCCTCCGCTGCCCCCGACCCGGCCATCCTGGTGACCGTCCACGCTCCTAGCACGACGGCCGCCACGGGTCAGGCCTTCCTTCACTCTACGGGCGCACCCGCCAAGATTCCGGTCACCACGGCCACGAGACCACAACCCTCTGCCGCGGTCTCAGCCTTTCCGGGTGCCCTGCTTCTCACTTCCCTTCACGTGACCGGAGCGCCACCTGGCTCTCCCCCTTATGGGATTCCCCGTGCCACTCGTGCGTCTACTTCCCCCACTCCTCCTCCTCCTACTCCTCGCTCGATCTATGTCCGTCGTCTTGGGACCGAGCTTGCCCAGATCCGGGCCAACCTCGCCCTCTTACGCCTTCAACCACCCCTACCATCACAGGTGGTCGCGCCTTCGGGTGCACCCCCTTCTTCCTCTACTCTTCCTTCCATGCAGGCTCGCTTCCCCCGCCCTGCACCCCTTCCACCCCCATTCTACCTCCTTCCTACTCCCTCGGTTGTTGTGACCTTTTATACCGCAACTCCTTCGCAGCCTGGCGCTGTTGCCCCCGCCGCTCCCCTATTCGCCCGGGCGTACAGTCAGCTGCGCCCCCTTCTCCAGGACCTGCGCCGACTTACTCAGCCGTAGCGCAGGCCTTTGCTCCTCGATCTCCTCGCCGCCAAAATGGTGGCGCACCTCTCGTCCGCTTGACGGACATTGCCTTGTATGACGGTACAGGGATACGCGTGTCTCGGTGGCTACAGTCTGCAACTCCACATGGGATAGAGGTAGAGGTAATTATGGGCGGCTATATCCAGCCCATCCTGGAATTCCGATAGGCAAACCGTCGGAACAGATGGTAATAGATGAAAAAGTTTGGGAAGAAAGGAAGGCTGCCAAACAATGTTTCAAATGTGATGACCCCGACCACACTGTTCCCTTCTGTCCTTAATATAGGTACCCAAAAGGGAACAACCAGTAGAGGTTTCGGTTGCCTCTACAGGGACTATGGATGCAAGCAGACTGTCATACTCCTATCCAGAGGTCCCAATGGTAGAGACTGAGACGAGAAATGGCCCCCACCTAGTTTACTGTCCAAAGGTTGTTTGTGCCATAACCTCTTTAGGTGGTTCCCCTGCAAGCATAGGTGATGAACTAATCACTCGTCGCCGCGCTTGGGCCGAAATGAAGAAAACGAAAGGGCTGTTAATAAACGCAGACGGAGAAGTTACATGAGTCAGAGTTGGCGCGCTAGTGGACAATTGGTCAACACGCATCTATATTAGTAAGAAAGGTTTGCAAAAGTTGCGATTAGGGCTTAAGGTTCAAAAGTTAGAACAACCCATCGTAAGTAAACTAGCAGATAACAAAGAAATGGTGGTTGATAACTATGTTGAAGGGGTTAGGGCATACTTACAGTTGGAGGCATGGGGAAAGGTGGAACGTGTTGTACACTCCCTGACACTCTTAGTGGAGGACATTCTCCCTTTTGACATGATTCTAGGAAGTGACTGGGGTGAGGCCGCCAATGCAGATGTGAAACTGGGTGAGCGTGAGTGTTGTTTGCCTAGTCCTACGAGTGGAAAGAAGAAAATTCGACTTTATCATGCATCTGGCTTGAGATAACCATGTTGAAGGAACTCGGCAAAATGACTCCGTAACTTCGGGAGGAGTGTTTTTCTTTGCAAAAACAGACCAAAGCGTAGAGAATAGCTATCCCTTTGTTGCATGAGTGTCCCCGCGTTCGCCTGGCATGTGGTCAAGAATGACCTCGCCGACCAAGTGTTTGTTGCATATGTGCGCCCGGTGAGTGAAAGTAAGAAAGAGGAAGAACCTATTCCCCCCAATCTGCAAAAGTTGCTTGTTGAGTTCGCTGATGTTGGAGAGGCGGCCCCAAGTGGAGTGGTTGAGAGAGAAACCAAGCACCGGATAGAGCTAGAACCCGGTAGCCGGATTCCCAAGGGCCCTATCTATAGGCTCTCCAAAAGAGTTGGATAAACTGCGAAAGCAATTGGATGAGTTGCTTGAGAAGGGGTGGATTAAACCAAGTTCCTCGCCGTTCGGTGCACCAGTCTTGTTTGTGCCAAAGAAGGGCGGCGAACTGCGTATGTGCATAGACTGTAGGGGACTCAATGCAAGAATGTTGAGCCATTACCATGGATAGATGATCTCCTGGATAGAGTTCAGGGTTGCAAATACTTCACCAAGATTGATCTGAAATCGGGCAACTATCAGATTGAGGTATTGCTTGAAGACCAACATAAAACGGCTTTTCGAACTAGATTTGGCCACTACGAGTTCGTGGTAATGTCGTTTGGATTGACAAATGCCCCTGCAACTTTCCAGCAATGTATGAATGAGCTCTTACGTGATTGGCTTGATAAGTTTGTTGTTGTTTATTTAGATGATGTACTGATTTTTAGTAAGAGTCTGAGTGAGCATGAGGAGCACCTTCGAGTTGTGCTTAGTAAACTGCGAGAAGCGAAATTCAAGATTAACCCGAAGAATTGCAAGTGTGCAAAGCGTCAGGTCCTTTACTTGGGACATATGGCAGACGACGATGGGATTAAACCGGAAGACGCTAAGATTCCAGCCATTAGAGATTGGCCTAACCGCCACACGTTGAAAGTCGTAAAAATATTTGTGTTTAATAATCAAATTATCCTTCGGTCATTTATGTCCACCACCCCTATGTCGACTAGTAATGATGTCTTGATTGTTACGTCCTTTTTTAGAAATTTTTCCAGAAGTTAGGAACTGCGCTCGTGCCTTGGTCTGGCCAACGATTATTGCAAGTTCGTTCGGAACTTTACGATAATTGCTGGCCCATTGCGCAAATTGTTAAAGAAAGAAACTATCTGGAAATGAGATCAGGATTGCATTGTGTCCTTACAAACGTTCAAAGATTGTTTGATTAATTACCCGGTGTTGAAAGTTGTGGATCCAT